AACCTTCCCTTCTGGCAGATGCTGTTCCTGCTAACAAAGAATGTGGCCTCTTCACTCAGCTGCTGCTTCCACTGGCGGATCTTAGACTTAAACTGCTCCATTGTCGTGCTGCCTATCGACTTGTTAGATGAATTCAGATTTCACATGTCAATTAAATGAGTGTTGCCCTGGTGATTAGAAGATCCCTCTAATTGTTGCTCCCTCCTCCCCTTTGCTCCGTTTTTTTCTTTCTTTTCCTTCCCCTCCTCCTTGCGCTCCTGCCATTTTCCACATGGAGGAGCACGGAATAAGGCTTTGTGCCATTGGGCCCCTTTACCCCATGTCCAAAATGTCTCCTTGGCTCGTTGCTTAAACCACTCTCTAAAATACCAGAACCAGTCTCTAACCTTTGGGGAATAAAAAAAAAAACAACAACAACAAAAAACATTGGGGTACAAGTGCTGGGATGGAGCTGGTATGTGGAGACACGTTTTATCCTACTTGTGGCTGATGCACCAATTTATTGTGCAGGATGCTTGAAAACAATTCATGCTCGCCTTGTAAAACTGAGCAGTTCTGACAAACGTAGCGAAACATGTGCACTGTGGCAGATAATTACCCCAACAGCCTCTGAAGGAGCAGAATGCTCGCGTGGGTCTCAAACTGCTTTAGAAAAGGTCAGTCGTGCACCCGGACCCTCCTCCTTTTGTCGATCTCGCAAGCCACATGTTTGTTTTACTTGACTCAATGGACTTGATCTGTGGATCCTAACTGTGTTTTGTTCCCTATACACCCAAGCAGTGTAGGAATCCAGTCTGTTAAATCAACTCCCAGAGTAACAAAGGTTTAACAAGCAAATGTAACATTCTGGACAATGGTGTGTTGTTGTTTTTTTTCCATCATCAGGGAAATTGCAGAGTAACAATAAAAGCACAAGTAAGAATGGAAGCATGGATTTCCTTTACTAAATCATGTTCAATATTTTTTACAGATTCTTTAAGTTTAAATGTTATAATAGGGGAGTTACTCAGAGGAGCTCCAGTTTTATAGAGGCAGATTTATAGTATCATTTTATTTTGTATTTATTTCAATTCCTTACTAACATCTGGGCAACATATTTATGTTGTTTTTTTCTTGAGTTGGAAAGAATAACATGCAAAATAATTAAATTAAAAAAAAGTGTATAAAAAAACCCTTTTATTTTATGATTAGTTTACATTCCATTTTTTGGCGATCATCTGTATTATTGACTGGGGGGGTACTGATGGTTATACAAAATGCCAAAATGGGTACACGAGTCAAAAAAGGCTGGGAAACAATGACCTAGAGAATAATTACAAGGATGTGGTCAAATGCCACATGGTAATCTTTGCATTCACCTTTGTTGTAACATTAGTATTAAGTAGTAATAAATTCCAAGAGGAGTTAGCTTTGACAATAGCATTGGGCATAGGAGTTTGCCCTTTAATGGAACGATTATTTGTTTAAGCCTCAGCCTTGGCTGTTAAAGTTGCTATGCTAACTCACCAAATTTTTGGGTCAAAGTAACCAGTATGTATTGGGCCCTATTACCAAATGCAAATTAGATCTGTTGTTTTAACCAAATGATTGGTTGGACACATAACTACAAACCAGATTGCTAAATTCAACCAACATTTTAGTTGCATCGACCAATCTGTTTTATAGTGTATTTCTCTATGAACCTGAGGCGTAAATTTGGCTAAATTCCTATTCTGCTCTCATTCTCATCACAAACTCATATCATGGATTGGTTTTTAATGGAGATATCAAGCAGTGGAACCCAATTAATATCATGTAAGGTAAGAGGAAAAAACCTCTACAAGTAAAAAAAAGGGGATACCTAAAAGATATTTGATATCTTTATGCCTCATGTAATATTGTCAGTGGTTGTGTTGAACTATAGAGTATTCATTTTAGAATGGTAAATATTCTCTTAGCTTGTTAATGATCAAAAACTGGGAAAATTAAATTGAAAAAAAAATACCTGATCTTGATGTGCTATTTAACATGTAACTATTGATTTAAATGCAAAGTCTATCCTAGTAGATTTGAAAACTTAAATGTTTAACTTTGTCCACTATTACAAGCATAACAACTCAGAAAGTTACTGGCAGATCAAATCCTGAAAAACTAGACTTTTTCCCCCTCTTTCAAATACCTAGGAAGTGAGAAGTAATTTTACTCCAATTTTTTATATAGACGCATTGACAAAAAAAACACACAAAATGAAATATCAGGAAATATGATTCACCCAAAACTTATATATCATCATCACCATCATCTTTATATATATAGCGTTTTAAAACAGCTACAGCAGAAAACATAGTGCTTGTATTGCAGTTATCTCTTATCAGAGTTTTTCAGGTTTTCAAGAAAAAAAGGCAAATCGATAAAACTAAGACCTCAATAAACAAACTGGATTGGACCAGTAAAGGCCTGATCAGCTCATCTCTAAGGATAATCAATTTATATTCAGCTCATCTTTTATTTTTCTTTCACT